ATGAATGCAATTTATTCTGTYTGCATCTTCCTCTCTGGCTTCATAAAATAACTGTGGTCACCCTRGCGTGACTTACAGAAGTTTAKGAAATTTACGTAAAGTTACAGATGAACAACTACTGAAGCTCTTAACGTCGCTACCCACCTCTGTTCGAGCCAGCACAGTTTATAMGTGTCTACCTCTGGCTTCATAAAATTGTTGTGGTCACCCTCATGCCACTTAAGAAKGTTTACTAAATTTACATAGTGTAAAAATAACTCTTGGAGAACCCAAATTTTGGCACAGTGCCTTGAGGGCGTCCAGCTGAAGGAAGCCATCGATAAACTGAAGACTCTTCTTTAGCTAAAGGCSTGTTCACGGAGTTCTCGTGCTGCAGAGGTTACGAGACCATGTGCCTGTCKAAGTATTTCTTTTCACTCAACATTAATTGGCACTCTAATTGSTCATGGTAGCTTTTCTGTTAGAGTGGAGTTATTTACTATTCAATTGAAAGTAGGTGGGCTTAGTTTGGTGTCAGAAGTGGAATACAACAWAAAATATCATATTTTTATTTAAGGGGTAAAATAAATTATTGAAGCATTAACATTTTGCTGCTGTGGTTGCATTTACTTTAACAAATTCCAAAGAATTACTCTAGAGTTTTGTAAACTGATAATTACTCTGAGTAAAAAACGTCTGAACAGTAGAAGTAATTTAATCCAAGCCTTTTTTTCTTTGTTGCCTGGATAAAGAGTGGTTAGGCTAGGATGAGGTTGGTGGGTTCAGAGCCTGTGTTTTTTTTTTTTTTTTTTTATGAAGGAACGCCAGCTTTAAGGAGCTTGTTTGTTGTTGATCCCTCACTACCCCCACCCTTCACAATTTGGGTTGGAAAAAATAGTATCATGTGTAATTAATTGTCTGAAATAATTACTATTAGCCACTTTGCAGTTAGTGTCACATGATGACCTATTTTTGTTTGTGACTCACTCCTCACTATTAAGTGTTTGACTGATGATTTTAAAGTAAATTTTTAGAGCACATGGTAACCAATTAAAATTCAAAAACATGCATCATTAATTAATTGTTATTGGCTAATTGACAATATTAATTGATACTGGGYGTTTTTGCCAGTATTGCRCAATCCTGTTTACAAAAAGACTATAACAGCACTTTGCTATTCAGTGTTGTTGCTTTTATCCATGTGCTTGTGCAACCACAGAAAAACTATTGACTGCAGCCATTAGTAGTCTGCTCGTCAGAGAAAATCACTGCTATTTTTATTTCATATTTTTTAATGCAAAGTGCTCTAACGGAGCAGAAAAGGGGTGTGTAAACAGCGTCAGTTTTAGCCCCACGCTCTACTTGGTTCTTTAACTCACAAAAACAGCTGAAATGGCAGGTTAAGCCTAGGCAAAGCAGGCAACCCCAAGTCTTATCTGTGGAATGCTGGGCATCGTCACGGAGGATCTCCTCTGCGGGGAGGATAAGCTTTTATCTTAAAGCCTCTGTCTCTTGTAACTGTCCCCAGAGACCTGCCCTTTCTATCTTACTTTTAGGTGTTTACATTTCTCTTCACATCACTTCCACACACCCCCTTTCCTTCTTTCCTGTATGTCCCTTTTCGCCCCCTCCCTCACCTGCACTCTTCTTCACCGCACATATTGAGCTATCGATGTTCCCATAYATACTGTAGCTTTATGTTTGCTGGTTTGAAAGAAGTTGAGAGAGAGCATTTTTGGAGTTAAAGTGACAAATTTAAACCAGACGAGCCTCATGATGGAGGATAATGATGATGCTGTTTTTGTGGTCTCTGCAGTTTTGCATGCCTTGGCATTTTAAAAGCTTGCTTGTTTTTTTGAGACTGTGGTCAACTTGCCTGGCAAAGGCACAAGCCCATGAGTTTGAAGTTGCTCTGTTTTTCCTCTGTAACTTCATTCCAGAGTAACTTTGCTGTCACGGTTTTCTCTTTGCACCATTTTTCTGTGCATTATTTATTCATTGTTGTTTGCAAATCAGCAGACTCACAATGGCTTATTCGTGGAAAGCAAAAATAACATTGGTAAACCAATTCATAGAAATCAACTAAAACCCAGTTCTAAATTTACTAAAAAGATTCAACCAGTTCTGTAGAAAAGCTTTGTTGCATGAGATCTTTTGTGATTATTTTTGTTCAGAGGTTCCCATGACTGACAGGAAGTGAACAGATCTTTGTCTCCCAGTTTGTAAGAAAAGTTGTAAAGTGACATYTCTCCTTATCTAAGTTATTAACCAACCTATTGCAAGAACAGCTCATTTTAATACATCAGTGACTGAAAMGTGTTATTTTTCTTAAAATAGTTCAACTCAGATCCCCTTTTTACTTGGCCTGTTTGTTTTGGGTATCTAAAAATTAAGAAAACAAACCCTCTGTCTGAATGATTAAATGAATCAGCTGAGGACATCAGTCATTGCAGGATTTGACCCAGGATCAGTTTACCAAAGCAGTGCACTTTGCCCAGCCTGTGTTGAACAGGTTCATCAGCTGCTGTGTTGGATTCACTCTCAACTACAGATCCTCGCTCTGATGGGTTTTGTGACAGACCGTCAACTTGGACTAATTCTTTGGTCATAATGCAGCTGGAAAATAAATAAAACCCTGGATTTTTTTCTCTATTTAAAGAAATATCTCTGCCCAGATGTTGAGTGAATGTTCCAACACAGCAGCATCACCAATAACACTGACGTCACCCTTATGTTGTGGCAAAGTAACCAAAGAGCTGCTGACACCTTTCATATTTTAAACTTTGCTGAGTTAAGCATTTTTGTTTTACCTCACTTTACTTCAATCCTTGTCCTTGTGACCCACTGGCCTGCATGTTTTAGCTGTTTCCCTGCTTCTGCGCACCCGATTCAAATGATTAAATTACCTACTCAGAATGTCATCAAGTTTAGCAGAAGCCTGTCTAGTTAGGTGTGTTGAAGCAGGGAAACATCTAAAACCTGCAGGACAGTGGGTCAGGAGGAACAGAGTTGAAGACCTCTGCTTTAAAGTTTGAATGAAAATTTGAACTTCACTTGTTTCTATCTGAAAACTGCCATGCAGTTTTGTTTTCAATAAGTGTTTCATATAAAACCTGTTAAATCTTTTATAAAGAAAAACTGTGGTATTGCAACTTCASTTGGCATAAAAAGCAGTTCATGAATGTTGATGAGATGGTGCAGAGAGACTGAACTCGCTTCYTCTCTTCTCTGACTTCTGCAGTCATACATCCCTATGTTTGTGCCGTGTGTATGTGTGTGTGTTTGTGTTTTCAAGAGTGTATATGCAGCCAGTACACCATTTGTGGTTTAACCCAAGTGGTGGTGTTGTCATCACAAAGTTTGAGTTTCCCTGCAACATCTGCAGCTGCAACATACAGTTAGGTTTCAGTAGCAAAGCCATTTACGTATGATCTGTAACCATGTGTCATCTAAGTGCTGTTTGCCTTTTGATTTAGTGAAAATGGAAATGCAGCATTCTGCTTGATTTGCTCTGGGGATTTAAGCTTTCTTTTTTTTTCTTTTCTTTTTTTTTTTGAATACTGTGCAAACAAGAATTTAAAAAGTGGTTGCATTTACATACTTTGTTGGCTGTACTTTGTCATCTTTTTCTGGTTGATTTTGTTAGTTTTCCTTTTTATGTTCATTTTTATGTTGTTTATTAACTTAGATATGAGATGTTGAGGTGTCATTTSAGATAGTTTAAGCCCTGCTGCTGCTATCTTGTGTTATGGTTCCCCTGTGCTCATTATGTAGATATGTCTGCGTCAGTAACATCCTTTTAACCTAACCACTGATTACAAAGACAGGTTTTCAGAAGTAGACTGCGTGACAGGATACAGGCATTACAAGAGTTTACAGGTATTACAAGAGTTTATTTCCCATTCATTATGTGAAAGCTTTTCTTTTATCATACTCCTAATTAGGGCTGCATGATATTAGAAAAACCTGCGATGTGCGATATTGGTGCTTAATATTGCGATGACGATATATGATTCGCAATAAATGAACAAATACCAAATAAATAATTATGTAGTTTTGATGTCTTTCTGCTCTGGATTCAGAGCAAAAATAAAAAATAAAATAAAAAACTAATCATTTTCATTCCAAAAAGATTTTTTTATGAAGGGATCCATCCAATTGGCCAAATACATTAAGGGCTCTATTTGATTGGTGAAATACTTCAAACTTCCGTCTGAGTGACAAAACTCGAAAATGCAAACTTTTGAGCCAACCATTTATTGCAGTTTTTGCAGTTGTTGTGATATGCATATTACACAGGCTGTTATCGCAATGACGATGGATTTTCGATATAATGTGCAGCCCTACTCCTAATTGTTTGGCTTTATTTATTAAATTATTTTTGCCGCTCTGCTACAGCAGCTTAATTTTCCTCCTGTCTTAAAATTCTTAAAAGAAAATCAGGTATTTTGTTTGGAGAATAAAATGATCAGCGCAACAGCTGCATAATTTTAGGTTTAAATTATTTATATTGAGGGTCTTGCTATTGTTTAAGTTTTAAACAACCATACTTAACACAAAAACGTAAGGATATTTGTGTTTGGTAGATTGTTTCCTTGTAACAATGCTTCTTGGCAATAAATCCCACATTGGGGACCTGACTGCAGCAGCTGGAGGTTCCAGAAGCTCAAAACAAATGGTAATAGCAACAGCAAAATTAGCTGCTTGACAGAGAGGATTTGGCAGATTTTTCACATGCACAACCCACACACTCAGCTCTACTGCTCATCCCACAAATGCGTGTTCCTTACAAATGTGGCCCCATTTAAAAGGGAAATGAACAGACTTTCCGACAATAAAAGATTTATTACCAAGAAGCATCGTTACAACAAAGAAATAATCCACCAAACACATTTCCTTACTTGTTGGGTTTAGTTTATKTATTTAAAAAGAAAAAGTAGTGATTGCTGGTTTTTCTTCAGCTTCATATCAGACTTTGTGGAATCAGGATTGTAACTGATGCGTTGGTCTGTTGTCCTCAGGTGCTGTGTGGTGAGACAGAGGCGGTGGCTGTGCGGCATGCTGAGGCCACTCCCCCTGGCTCAGGATGAGTGTCAGAGATGGCGCTGCCACCATGGCAACAAATGCAGGTGGAGGAGGAGTGGGGGGAGGTGGGCCCTCTGGRCCTAACAACCACGACGACCGCACGTACATGCTTCAGATTTACCCGCGACTGGTTTCACAGTCCTCCGCCTGCTGCAACCTCAGGTGAGTTCTCAACTTCAGCCGTTGAAACTATCAAGTTAACGCTCATCGTTCATAATGTTATTGTTGAAGCAGGGTTTTGCAATGGTAAAATCGTGTTTACTTTTTTGCTGTGACCGTCAGGGTGCAGAAGGACGCGACGGCAGCCTCTGTGATCTCGGACGCCGCCGCGACTCTGGGGCTGGACCCCAGCCGCCTGTATGTGCTGGCTGAGGTGAAGGAATGTGGTGGGGAAGAATGGGTGCTGGAAMCTGGAGACCTGCCGGTACAGAGGTTTCTGCTTTGGCCTCGAAAAGCCCAAGAACAGCATGCTCGTAGCCTGGGCTTTTACTTTTTACTACAGGTAAAGTTGARTGACTGTGTTATAGTCAGAATGATGAAGCTGTGAGAAAACTCCTCCTGTTGTTTGACCATTGTTCTTCCTTCTGCTTTCTCTTCCTCTTTGAAAAAAAAACAAGTAATCAGTTTTGGCAACAGGCTACACAACAGTGATGGAAATATAGCAATAAAAACAAGTATAACAACACAAGATATAATTTCCTTGTGCAATATGTTTGGAAYAAAACCTGCATCCAATTATTTTGTTTTCTTTAAGAAATCCGAACAGCTCAAAATATTGGTTGTGTCAAAAAGCATTAATGCTGTTTTTCTTTATTTCTTCAGGAGAGGAATCGTGATGGTTCTATCCAATATGTCCACCTCCCACCTTTGTCCAAGGAACAAGAGGTACTACAGCTCGCTGACAGGGGCTTCCTCCCCCCTCCCCAGGACGATTTTGCAGACCTCTGCAACCTCCCCGTCCTCAGTGAGGACAGCATATTAAACAATCTACGCACACGCTTCCACAAGAGAAAAATRTACACCTATGCAGGCAGCATCCTCGTGGCCATCAACCCCTTTAAGTTCCTGCCCATCTACAACCCGAAATACGTCAAAATGTACGAGAACCACCAGCTGGGCAAACTGGAGCCTCACATATTTGCTATCGCGGACGTGGCCTACTATGCAATGCTCAGGAAGAGGGTCAARCAGTGCATTGTCATCTCTGGGGAGAGCGGCTCGGGCAAGACCCAGAGCACCAACTTCCTGATCCACTGCCTGACGGCGCTCAGCCAGAAGGGCTATGCCAGCGGAGTGGAGAGGACCATTCTGGGGGCRGGACCAGTCCTGGAGGTAAAACCCTAACATGTTGTGATCTGGTTTGGAGGGAAAAGATTAGTAGTGGTAAACCAGTATTTGTTTTGTAAAAGTGTGCTGCAAGAAAACCTGTTAGAGAATCTTCAAAAAGAATTTATTGCTCTATTAGAATCTTTCCTCAGCACTTATTTAAAGAGAAATAATCTGCTTAAAGATGCTTGTTTAGGACTTTTTTGTGCCCCGGCTTCATATCAATATTATAACTGTTATCCAGTTATAAGATTGCTCCTCTTAATGTTAAAACATGCAGAATCACAGGATGGCAAATGCCATAAGCTATATTTGCACATTTTGTCGATGMTGATYAATGATGAAAGTGTTAAAGGGATCCCCYATTAGTTGTAACATTAGACTTTATTTGATTAACTGTAAAATAAAGACTGTAAAAATACTGTAGGCTGTTTAGTTTTGTAAAGTTTTAAAAATATATTTTAACACGGACAGAGCCATTTTATTTACACACAAAGCATTCTGGGTAAATGATGACGTTGATAGGTCCTTGGTGTGAGTGAGCTATATCCACCCTAAAGGTTAATCTTGGACAATATCTGATGATTGACTCTTTTAAATGAAACCAGAGAGCGTTGACAGAGAGGAGAAGGTAGAAATGACTCAGCCTGTAACTGAAAATATGGATGGAGGACAACAGAGCTGCTTCATGGAAGAAGAACCTCAGCTTAGCCTGTTAGCCTTTGCGCTAGCACCGATGCTATATTGCCTTAAATGTATTAGCTCYGCGCTAGAGCAACAAACCAGCTAAACTGAGGTCCTCCATCCATATTTTCAGTTGCAGGCTGAGTCATTTTTGCGTTCCCCTCTGTCATGTGGATGGAGGACCTCAGTGATGAGAGGAGAATGTGTAGCACTGAGCTAATACATATGTATGGTGATAGCGTCGGAGCTAACGCTAAAGCTAACAGGCTAAGCTGAGGTTCTTCTTCCATGAAGCAGCTCTGTTGTCCTCTATCCATATTTTCAGTTACAGGCTGAGTCATTTCTACCTTCTCCTCTCTGTCAACGCTCTCTGGTTTCATTTAAAAGAGTCGATCATCAGATATTGTCCAAGATTAAACTTCAGGGTGGATGAAGCTCGCTAGCAGCCTCGCACCGATGACCTATCCACGTCAGCATTTACCCAGAATGCTTCGCGTGTAAATAAAATGGCCCTGTCCGTGTAATATATTTTTAAACTTTTAGTTCAAAAATTATAAAAACTAAACAGCCTACGGTATTTTTAGTCTTTATTTAACTGTTAAAATAAATGTTTAGCAAATAAAGTCTAATGTTACAACTAATCAGGGATCCCTTTAAGAAATCTTTAACATAAAGACTGTAGTCAAGCCAGAAAGAAGAAATGGAAAAAAACAAGAGGAAGTTGCTTTATCAACTTTTTAATTTTACTTTGTGCTGTTGAAAATACTGTGGGAATCTGAGGTAGATTAGACCGTTTACTGGTTCTATATCTTTTTCTACGTTTTAGGGAACAAATTGAAGTTTCTTTGAGTGTTTACAATTTTAGATGGTGGTACTTATTTGTGGCTGTTTCAGTCAGATGACTGCACTTCTTCCTGCTTTTTCCTCTGTGAGAAATGACATGCTTGTTCTGACTTGCTGCTTGCAGCTACTGACAGGCCAAAAGGAACAAAAACTGACACATTAACCTTACTGACTTAATAACTGTCTTTCTGATGGGCAGAAATATGAAGTCATTTATAAAAATGACATGGCAGTAGAAAACACAATTCTTAACTTTTGAGTTCAGACTCGTTTAACATTTTGTGTAAAAATCAAGTTTTTAAAGACTCATATGTGAGTTGAATAGCAAGACTGACAAGGTAAATTAGAATTTTGTCAAATTGTCATTGAGCCTGTCAATGGTGCCCAGTGCTGGAAGTTATGACAACACATCAAAGTTTTGGTTACACATAGTTATTTGTGTTTCCTGACTGATTTAAATATGTTTTGGCTGCAAAATCTAAAGGTTTTTATGCATATAGTTCATTGTTTAGTAAAAAAGACAATCAAAATTCTGGGATTTCTTTAGCCTTTATGATTTTTCTATTCATTAATGCACTTGTGAAAAGCAGCAGGGTTTGTATTGTACAACGTGACACACCTTCCATTTTTGGAATAATTGTATGGCCTCTCTCTGCAACAGGGACWTTTTGGCAGCAGGTTTATTGTGATCATTTCTACTGTGTGACCTCTGACACACTTGATCACAGGATAGATGCTGGAATCCACATGTGAAGTGTGAAATAGATCGTTGGCATCTGTTTAATGTCTGATCCATAATTTGTATCAACCCTGTAATTCAATCCAGATGTTGGACCAACTCAAGCTTTTCTTGTCAAGTTGTAAATTGGCATCGTCTTGCTAATGCTGCACGTGTATTTTGTTTGGCATTTTTCTGATATGAACAATATTACATTTTTTAAAAGATTTCACTTATTTGGTCATAAATATTTGATTTATAAATTTGAGGGGATAAGTGTGTTTGTTTGTTTTATTTGGACTGTGATAYTTTCATTTTTTTCAAGTTTGATTTACTGTAGATAAATGATTAAAAACAGATTTGGTTCACATTTCAAATAGCACTCTGCTCCCTCTCACTCTCTGCTTCAAATGAAAAAATATATAAGAAATAATATAAGCAGTCTTATCACCGTGGACTGTGGATAGATGGATAAATAGATGTGAAGATGGATGAATAGAAACAAGGATGGATGGATGTATGGATGGATGGAAACATGGAGGATGCATCCTTCGGACCAACGGACAGATAGACAAACTGATGGATGGATGGATGGATGGATGATGGATGGATAAATAGCTGTAAAGATGGAAACGATAGATCGATGGATAGATTATAGATGGATGATAGATTATAAGTGGATGGATGGATGATTGGATGGGTGGATGGATAGATAGATGGATGAATAGAAACAATGATGGGTAGATGGATAGAAACAATGATGGGTAGATGGATAGAAACAATGATGGGTAGATGGATAGAAACAATGATGGAAAGATGGATAGAAACAATGATAGATGGATAGATAGATGGATGGAAACAATGATGGATAGATGGATGGAAACGATGGATAGATGGATGGGAACAATGATAGATGGATAGATGGATGGAAACAATGATGGATAGATGGATGGAAACAATGATGGATAGATGGATGGAAACAATGATGGATAGATGGATGGAAACAATGATGGATAGATGGATGGAAACAATGATAGATCGATGGATAGATTATGGATGATAGATTATACATAGATGGATGGATAGATACATAGATGGATGGATAGATAGATAAATGGATATATGGATGGAAATATGGACGGATGGATTGAAGGATGATGGATGGATGGACTGATAATTGATAAATACTGTATATGTATGTGTGGATGGATATATGCATATATAGTGGTTCATGAGATATTTTGCTAACAGAAAGTGAGTTTACTAATTAGTTATTAGTTTTAAACAGGCATATGCTGGTAAAGACCTCCCCTTGATACAACTACCTGAATAACATTTGAACAAAAACCTCTGTGTTTGCATTTGATAGCCTCTCTAGCTGTAGGGAATTAATTACCCAGAGTCCTGATCTGAGAGTAAATCTCCTCCGCATACTTTTCAGTTTTATTTCACAATCATGGGAACAAAAATAGACGCTTATTCAGAAAAGCCTCATGAGGAATGCAGTTTATACAAGGTACAAAACGGCGAAGAAAAAAAAAGTCCTGGTTTGTAAAAGTACGTTTATTGAAAGTTTCAGTTCTCAGAAACTGTAAAAGAAAGAATTAAAAAAAACTAAACCAAAGTTTAATGGTAGGTGGTCACAAGCTGTCAGACCAAAGCTCATTGCAACAATACAGTGTGGATAAACACAATAACAAACGGTCATGGTGATTTCATTAATTACATGTCACATGTCAGAACTATCTGAGCTGCTGCTGCTTTCTGCGTGCAGCTCTGGTCTCTTGATGTGTGTCAGATTTTGGTTCCAGACGACAGATTGAGGAATGAAGGGGGGAGGCAGTAGAGTGAGGTTTTTTTCCCCCTCCATCAGCACAGTTTTGGTCCCCGGGGCAGACTTTGCTGCCATTCTGCTGCTCTCTGTCTCTCTGTCTTTTCATCTTACAGTATGTGTGTCAGCCCAGTCCAGAGCTGTGGTTGCAGGGTCAGACAGGAAGATGGGTTTGGACTTTGCTGGCCTGGTCATTTGGGGACAATTATACATTTGACTTCAGTTGAAACCAGTCATTGAACAGCTTTTTATTTCCTCTTCTATAAAAATGTTTGCAAAGAGACCATTTTTGTGAGTTGATGTAAAAAGCTTCTGTGCAGCATAAGATGGTTGACATAAAACAAATGTTACATTTTACTAAAGAAGTGAAGTTTTTTACTTTGGCAAAACAGTTTCTAGGTTCTTTTTTGTTGTGGAGTGTGATCGGATTACTGGTGGTAGAAAATGTGTGTGTGCGTGCGTGCGTGCGTGCGTGCGTGCGTGCGTGTGTGTGTGTTTCCTCAAGCTACAGTGGAGGTCTAAAGGCCTGGATCACATTTTGCGGAGATGAGATCATAATTTAGTGGTTCTGGATACTAACTTTGTGCTCTTTTTGCTGGCAGATTGTCCAGACTGGGACCATTTGGGGAAAAAAGTTGCTGTCCTGCTTTAAAACATTGCACCCCTCTTTTTTGTTTTCTTTAAACTGTCTTAGTTTGTGTTTGTAACGTACACGAGGGATTGTGGAACAGCCTATGTGGTTTGAACAAATGAGATTTAATCTTGTAGAACCAGCTCACTAATTCTAAATGAGTGGTTTTTACTCGCAAACTGGTCTAACTGGTTCATCCTTTGGTGTGTAGTTACTCATTGCGTGTCTCTGTGTTCTTGTGCGAGGCTTTGAAGCTTCTTGTTCTTATTGTCAGAGTGACCTGCCTCTGCTTTGGCTTG